GATTCTCTCCTTAACAAATAACGAGATGGCTGAAGGCCTAGGGACGTCCACGTCAGAAGGTAATGATCAACGCGGGGCGTCGATCACGTGACTTAGCATCCCGCTAAGGCATAGCCTCCGGGAGGCTACTGTATAAAGAGAAGCCAACGTTCTGTAACGGCGCAGGCAAGACTACTCGGATCAGTATCGGCAGTAGCGTCACTCAGAGGCATATGGGAGTGCGTGGGACATTAAACGAGCCTTGATTCGAATAGACACCTATAGGCCTTGTACGAAAGGATATCAAAAATCTATCGAGCTACGGTATGGAGAAGGTGGGGTTTTATATCAGCAGATCTGCCCTCGGCTAGTGCGTGCCCATGTTCGGATCCCTTTCGGATGTTAGTTCAGTGTGTACTCGAACCGTTACACTACCCCCCCCTCTATTGACAGCTAGTCCCGTAGCTGTTGAAAAATTTTCAATGTTTGTTTGTTTGTCTATTTACTTGATGTCGTCATCCTTCTATACAGGGTCTCGGCCAGGCCCCGAACAGCCTCCGGGCTAAGGAGAATCCACTTAGTACGTGATATCAAATCCGTTTGCTCACTGAGTATATTAACAGCACGCGTCCATACTTGCTGTCACTAAAACACTAAAAAAATTCTACTCCTCCCACACACACACATACACACATCATGCCGTTGCGTTGCCCTGCTGGCGCGCTTCCGGAGGCGTACCGCCTTATCTGTCTTCGTTCAGTTCGTGCCTTTGCGCGCGGAGTCCATAATGTGGACTACCGTTTCGGTGCCGCGGGGTCTAAGAAGTGCAATTATTGCACTTAGCAGAAGGAGAAGTGCTCCCCTGTAAGTTTTTCAAATCCTTCTAATTATAAGACGTTACTAACTCTGATAGGTTCCGGAGTACGTCGAGGCTGAGTTCGCCGTTTTTCTCGCGGCGATGGACCTGGTGGCTGCTGCCCGCCATGGTGACGAGCCGGAGGACGACTGGTACGCTGCCAAGCAGCGTCTCGAGTCCGCCGCCCTGGATCTGGCTCGCTAGGTCTAGGTGACAAAGAGCCAGGAGAAGGAGTTGTCCGTGGTCGGGCTCCTCTCCGCCACGCACTAGGTGCTGGTGGAGATTCGGGATAGCCTGCGCCGGCTGGAGGGCCGTGTGGCGGCGGTGGAGGATGCCGTGGAGGCTGGTAGGACTTTTGTCCCAGACCCCATGGACATCAGTTCCGGGGGCGAGTCGGAGGAGGAGTCGGAGGGGGAGTCGGAGGGGGAGACAGAGGAAACTCTGTCAGTAGACCTCCGTGGTCTGGAGGATGGGGCAGGGGAGTCTTCTAACTCCCCCATTAATTAGGTGTTCGGTGTGGTGGGTGGTTAGTTAGGTCAGGTTTGTTTCTAGGGCGTTTCGGTTTTTATTCTATACCCATTATAAAGGATTGTTTTTCTTTTCCCTATATTTAATCATCTTGCAGTGAAGTCATATCCTCTATGCCTTACTCCCATGCCTAGATCCACTTTGATAAGGAACGGGGAGGTCCCGGTTTTATTAGATTTTGGTTATGGAAGGTCTTGAGCTTATAGGGTGCCCCTATAAAGTTTGAGGCAGGGTACTAGGTAGGGTCCAGATCATGTCCGACCTACCTCACCCGATACTTAAGCTTCGAGCGATACACTTTACTAGCTAAGACTTCTTCAACTTCCCACTCTTCTACTCCTTAGATAGGGGTTCCTGACGGCTTAGGGGCTTCTTGTCCGGGTAAGGGATCTTAAGGGTCTTTACAGAGTAATTCCGGAGCAAAGACGTTATAGATCCGGGACCCTTCTAGTAGCTGTAGGCGATAGGAATTTCCTACCTTTTCTAGCACCTTAAAAGGTCTCTCCCATTTATTAGATAACTTACGGCTAGGGCGATCTGTAGCGAGGTTTTTCGTGTCTAAGAAGACTCGGTCTCCAACTTCCTAGTTAATAGAACGTCGGTGTCGGTTTACTACGGTTCGCATCCGATCCTGGGCTTTCTCTATTTATTCCTTAGCAACCTTCTAGGCAGCGTGCATTCTGGTGGCTAGGGCGAGAGCATCCCGATAGTTGAGCTTATCGGTAGGGGATAGCTTGCTCTCTTTCTAGTCTTAGTCCCAGCTCTGCCTTGGTTCGGTTCCGTGTAGGATCCGGTACGGGGACATACCGATAGAAGAGTGAGGTAGGGAAATTTGGGCTCTATCGATCAGAGGGAGTAACTCACTCTAGTTATCCTGGTAGTAGGCTACGAACGGACGTAGCCTCTGATTAATATACTTATTCATAATCTTAGTCTGGCCATCAGTTTCTTTGTAGTAGGCGGTAGATAGTTTTACTTTAACGCCTAGGATCCGACAGAATTCGGACCAGAAACTGGAGATGAACTGGGGACCTCTGTCTAAGATGATGGTTTCGGGCGTGTGGCCAAAACGGTACACCTACTGAACGAATAACTCGGCCATACCCCTCGCGTTGATGGTTTTGTTGCAAGGAATAGAAATGGCCTGTTTAGATAGGCGGTTAATAACGACTATGATTATATCGTAACCGGACCTGTCTCGGGGGAATTTCTTAAAGTCGATGCACAGGTGCTGCATCGGCCGGTCAGGAATGAGGAGGGGGTGGATTATACCTAGAACTCGGGTCTGTCTTAGATGTGCCTTACGACAAGCTATGTAATTTCGTACGTATCTTTTATAAGAAGACTCCATTCCTTTCCAGTAGTACTTCCGGGCCAGCAGCTGATAAGTTTTCTTAGCACTAGGGTGTGTAGAGGATACCTGATCATGGGCTTCCTGGATAAGACGGGTACAAAGGATAGAAGTAGAGGGGACGCATAGTCGGTCCTTATACAGAAGGAGGTCACCGCGGAGTCAGAACTTACCTAGAAGGGTGGTCCTTTCTTCTATAAAGGAGGAACGGTTAAGTTACAAGACAGCTTCGATAAGTTCAAGAGAGTCTAGGGACATCGGCTCTGAGGTAGCCTCGACTGCTAAAATAGAATAATAATGGATTTGCAGTCGGGCTACGTAGGCTTAAGCTAGGTCGGAGTTGATCCGGCTGTTAAGTTGGTACGGTCCTAGTAGGACCCGCGACCTATTATTAGTTTAGGCTATTTTGAGGTTTTCTATATCTTATTCCCGACGAGAAAGGATGTCTGCGCGAGTATTACTCTTTCTGGGGGTGTATTGGATACGGAAATTAAAGGGGGCCAGCTCTTCAGCCCACCTTGCTTATCTGGCGTTAAGAACCTTAGTGCTTATAAAGTATTCTAGAGAACGGTGATCTGAATAGACGTTGACCTGGGCTTAAGCTGACAGGAGCTTAGGTCGTCATTTGCTAAAGGCTGTAAGGATAGCAAATAGTTCTTTATCGTGGATCTCCTAATTCAGTTCCGATCCGGATAGGACCTTACTATAGAACGCTACAGGGCACTATTTGTCGTTAGGTTGTTTTTAGGATAACATACTAGCCACAACGCTATCGGAGGCGTCAGTCTCTACCTTCGTATCATACTCTGGTTAATAGTGATATAAGGTAGATATTAAAAGGAGGGCTAATTTTAATTTTTTAAAAGCTTGATCGCAGTCCGAATCCCATACGAAGGGTCTAGAGGGACTCTAGAGAGCAAGAAGAGGTTTTGTAATTCGTGAGTATTCTAGGACGAATTGTCAGTAGAACCCTGTAAATCCTAGGAATGACTTCACAGCAGTAACAGTTGTAGGTGGTTTCCAGTCTCGCAGGGCGTCTACTTTTTCTGGGTCAACTTCTAGACCTTTGTTAGTTAAAATGTAGCCCAGGTATTTGGTCCGAGTGACATGGAATTCGCTTTTCTTGATGTCAACTTGAAGTCCAGCAGCTCGCAACCTGTCCAGTACCTTGCGGACGTGACGGACGTGGTCCGGACTGGATTCGGAGTACACCAGGATATCGTCTAGATAGACTATGCAGAAATTGTCCAGATAATCAATCAGCACATCGTTCATGTACCGCTGATACGTAGCCGGGCCGTTGCAAAGTCCAAAAGGCAATACCTTCGACTTGTACGTTCCATAGCGAGTGCGGAACGTTGTGTACTCTTCTGAGTCGGGGTCCATTCGGATCTTGTTGAAGGCCGCGCGAATATCTAGCTTCGTGAAAATCTGAGCTTTGTGCGTACGAGCTAGTAGTTCGTCTATTCGCGGTATCGGATAAGCGTCCTTTCGAGTAATAGAATTTAGCTTACAGTAATCTACACAGATGCGTAGGTCTCCGTTAGGCTTCCGAACACACAGGACAGGGGAGGCGAATGGGCAGTGACTCGAGTTAATGTACTCTTTTTGGAGATTTTCCATCACAAAAGTTTTTATAGCTTTTAGCTCTTCAGTACTCTGCTTATAGAGAGGACTGAATTGATTCGGAAGGGGTTCTGTGAGAACGATCTTGTGGTCGTATCGACGATGTTCCGGCAGCCGATCAGCGGCTGTTTTGCTGAAAACATCTCGGTACGCATAGTAGTTGGAAGGAAGTCGGTCCTGCACTAATTTGGCATTCTCAGGGTCGTCTTGTTTTAACCTTTCTTGTAAGATTCGATCTATCTCATAGATACTAGTCGTGAAGAAATCGTTTTCCTTCCGTTTCATGGTGTAATGGAAAGCATTGGCGGAAATAACCGCTATGCGAGGTGAGGTAGGTTTTGGCGCCGGAGTCCGGGGTGACTCTGGTTCAGGTGGTAAAGGCGGCGGAAGGAGACGTACCTTAGGAATTTTGATGAGTCCTTGAATTCGCTGGACTAGCCCTTGTTGAGGGCTGGTTTGTCTACGGTACTTATCCTTTTCCCAAAGGGCGTCTCTACGCCGGATATCTAGTTGCGCATCGGTATTAGAATAGGGTGATTTTAACTGCACGAGGAGAGGGGGGCTAGGATCATAAGTTGGGGGGTATTGAGCTGGCTATACGATTTGGTTCCGAGCGGTATCGAGCTTTAATTGGAATCGTCGCATCTATTTGATCCCAATAATACAATTCTGAGATCCCAAATCTATAATTACAAAGGGGCAGTTAAGAATCTTTCTTCCGTCAATACGGATGTGTAACTGGATATACTTGTCTACCCGGGTCTGCACCTGGTTATAAAATCCTTTGACTGTAATTTTGAAAGGGAGTCTTCGGATAGGTACCTGGAGGGAACCGGATATAGAAAGGGCAATAGCAGAATTTAAGAAGAGAAAACCTTGGGCTCTGGTGTCAACTAGGGAATCTAAGCGGACACCATAACCCTTCGAACATAAAACGGTGGGAATACGGAAATATTTTCCTCCAAACAAGTTTGATAAATCGATTTTTGTAAGATCATACTTGTCCAGGCCTAGACTGGAGCGTTTCCCTAGGCTTCGTCGTTTCCCGACCGACTCTGATCCGAATGATATTCAAGTGCGTCTTCATACTCTTCTTTCTCTGCTTGGATTTCCCTTACCCGCGGGACCGGACAGTTGTTAGCGTAGTGGCCAGGCTTGCCGTAGTGGTAGCAATTTTCAGTGGTAACGTTGTCTGGTGCGGGGGTTTTCGATAGTAGTCTAGGAGTGGAAGAATGCACGCGGTACGGAGTCGGGGTCGGTTCGGGCCTAGTGTAGTAGGTACGGGGTTGAAAATCCCGGATCGGTCGTGGAATTTGTTTTGTTGAGGAAACTCCCGCCTGACTAGGCTTAGGTTCCGAGTAAGTACCGACTGGTGCATTTCTTCTTTCTATGTCAAAAGCTGTTAGGTGTTGAACCATTTTTTCAAACGAGCCTGCCCACAGATGTTTAAATCCCAGATTTGGGGCTCGTAGCGCTGGTATGATCTTCTCCCACAGGTAGAAGAACCATTCCGACCTTGATACGGACCCTTTTACGGCTGCACTAATAAAGTGCGCTTTGAATTCCGTAAAGGTCTCCTTTCTTCCCATTGACAGGCGGTGGAAAGCTGCTCGGCTCTCCGCCTGTTCATTTCCAGATATAAAATATGATTTGAGTAATAAAATCATATCCTCGGCACATAGGAACCGTTCCTCCTCCGATTCGGCGAGGTATTGTGGTTCTAGGTATTCTTTGGCGGTGCCGGTTATGTGACCCCATACTAATGCCATTCTCGCGCGTTCGCTCCGATAGTGATCCGAGTTAATGCTGAGCCGATCTTGTATCGAGGCTTGCCATTGCTTGAACGTAGGATTTACTCCATTACTAAGGTTATCTATAGGTAGAGTGCGTTCGCTGAGCTTAGCGTATAGAGGGTCTAGGGTAACTGATGGGAACCTTGCTGATTGGTGGGAAGGTCGTTCGGTTAGAGTCGGAGGGGGTTCGGTTGTAGGTACTGGTTCATCCCGAGTCAGGGTATTTTCCCGCATCAATCGTTCGACTTGGGCATTCAGTCTATTGATTTCTGCCTGGAGTATACTAGTATGATCCTCTTCCGATTCTTCTTCTTCTTCTAGCTCAGCAGCGGGCTGTTTGCCAGCTGTCCTTTCTTGTTGGGGTTTCTGCGTTTGTTGGCGAGTTGTTCTCCTCGCTGATTCCGCAGAACCGGTGGTGATTCGGTCAACCGTGGTGATTGATTCCTTGGTTGATGGGTTCTTAGTAGTTTCCTTGTCTCTACCTTAGCGCACTCTTCGCGACTTTTCCGAAGTTAATCCGACTCGTAAGAGGACGGAAATTCCAAACCCAAAGGCTTCGGTCGACAGGAGATCAAGGGGATCCTGTCTGGGTGAATGTTAGATGTAACGGTGTAAGGATCCGAATGGGCTCCGGATACACTTGGAATTGGACGTGGTCTGAACAGACAGCTGCGATATTGTTTGAATGCCGTCACCGGCGGTGGCGAGATTTTTGATATAATGTAACGGCGCAGGCAAGACTACTCGGATCAGTGTCGGCGGTAGTGTCACTCAGAGGCATATGGGAGTGCGTGGGACATCAAACGAGCCTTGATTCGAATAGACACCTATAGGCCTTGTACGAAAGAATATCAAAAATCTATCGAGCTACGGTATGGAGAAGGTGGGGTTTTATATCAGCAGATCTGCCCTCGGCTAGTACGCGCCCATGTTCGGATCCCTTTCGGATATCAGTTCAATGTGTACTCGAACCGTTATAATTAGCTATAAGGATCTTTTTCTTATTATTAAGTACGTCGTTATATCTATAGTATAAGTTAATATTAGTAAGAAACGTCTATAGCTTAGTATAACTTCTATTATATTTATTTAGAGTTACTATCTTAGGTTTCTTTATGTTATGGGCGGAGAGGCCTAGCGAATGAGTATGCTTCTACCTATCGTACAGAAGCTAAAAGATAAGAAAAAGAGAAGATAACTAAGTACAGACTTCTCTTATACCTGCTCGCTTCTGATCACGTGTCCGTACAGAAGGTATATCACGTGGTCGAAGATCACGTGATCCTCTTCAGTAGAGATCACGGGCGCAGCCCTTTACACTTTATAGGTTTTTTATTTAGAGTAGCTATTATCTAGTCTACTAATTAGTTAATTATAGTTTATATTTTAACTATCTGTTACCTAAGACTATAAACTACTTACCTAGAGTTCTTAATCTTCTCCTCGTCGTTACTAGGCGTTAGTATTTTATTATTAATTACTAGGTTAGCTGTAGCTCTAGGATCTTAAATAGATCCGCTAGTGCTTTCTTATAACTAGTAGATAGAAGGTATTATAAGTCTTAATTAGGCGTTCTATTATTAATCTTTCTAATCTACTAAATCCGTAGGTAGTTAAAGTATTATACGGGGTTAGGTGCTAATTCGTCTCTATACTTAATCTAGGTTAGAGTAAGTAAAGTAGAGTAAATAGCTTTATAAGGTAGTTATCTAGCGATATAGTAAAGTAGCGTGCTTATAAGATAGATAATAATAGGTTTAATAATTCCTAATCTATATTAAATAGACTAATAAGTATTAATCTTATAAAGTTAAGTAACTAGTAAGAAAGTATAATTTAAGTTAACTATAACAAGAGTAATTAATAAAATCTATCTATCCTTTATATCCTTATTATTTCTAGTCCTGCTATCCCGTCTATCCTATCTTTCTACCTTTTGGCGGGATGTCTAGGATAGCGTGCTATCCTAAAGTCTGTTGCCATCCTATACTTAGCGGGATGTCCTGTCTTAGCAGGATAGCTTATTACGTGACTCTAAGCCCCGCGATAATCATACCTATTAGGATCCCTAGTGGTTTCCCAACCATTCATCGTCAGACCCAGAGAGAGGATCCTTCTAGTTGTTACTTGTAACATTATACTAGTTTAAAAATAAGAACCTTTTAGAGTAGTTTTTCTCTATGTTAACCTTCCATACTCACTTTCTTTCTACTCTTAATACAGAGGTAGTCTACTACTTCATTTTACAAGAAAATAAAAAACTTAGTATAGAGGTACTATTATAACGTAGACGTATAAGATATAAATAATAAATAGTTATTTCGTTTTCGTATTCGCTACGCGAGAGTATTAGTAGTTCTAATATTTTTTGTGCTTGCCTTCTTGGCACGGCGGGCGGGTTGTAGTTGCCGGCGCGGCCCGATCGGATCTAGCCGTTACAGTAAGTGTGTTCTTGGATTAGGTAGAATTATCTAAATCTAGTTTAGGAGTATGTCGCACGGGAATTCCTTAAAGCGGATGTTTACCGGCGTCTATATGCGTTAGCTTATAAATCCAAACCGATACCCCTCTTCTAGATCATTTTTCAACTTGCTACCGTCTCCTTCTCGAGCTCATTGAATAGCATAGTATCTGTTCCCCATCTTTGTCGCCCAGTTCCTCCCTTAGTCCACCATGGCACCTCCAGCATCTCTGCCTACCAAGCCTCTTGGCAAGACAGGACGACAGGTGCCCGCCCTTGGCTTCGGAATGATGGGGCTGAGTATGGCCTACGGACCTACTGGGTAAGCTGTTTCATGTGTGCCCTGACCCAGGACGCAATTCTGACACTCTCTCAGTAATGACGAAGAGCGCCTGGCGCTTCTGGACCGTGCCTGGGAGCTCGGCTATACGAATTGGGACACAGCCAACAGCTATGCCGACAGCGAGATTCTGATCGGAAAGTGGTTCAAGCTGCATCCCGAGCGTCGCGCCGACATCTTCCTGGCCACCAAGTTTGGCATCAAATTCGCAGTCGACGACAAGGGCGAGTGGAACATCTCGGCTGACAACAGCCCCGAGTTCTTCAACGAATGCCTCGAGGGCAGTCTGCAGAAGATGGGTGTTGATTACATTGATCTCTTCTACGTCCACCGTCTCGACCCCAAGACGCCTGTCGAGAAGACGATGGAGCTATTGGCCAACGCAAAGAAGTAAGCTAGAGCTCTAATGTCCTATCCAGGAGAGGTGCTTGCTGCGCCCATACTGATACCTCTATATCAGGGATGGCAAAATAAAAGCCATCGGCATCTCTGAATGCGCCTCCAGCACCATACGACGAGCCTATACAGTCGCGCCCGTCGATGCCGTCCAAGTCGAGTACAACCCGTTCCAACTGGACATCGAGAACGAGACAGGAACAAACCTGCTCTCCACCTGCCGCGAGCTTGGCATCACCGTCTTCGCTTACGCTCCGCTGGGTCGCGGCTTTCTAACGGGTCAGATCAAGAGTACTGACGACTTTGCGCCCGACGACTTCCGCCGCGTCGTGCCGCGCTTTAGCCCCGAGAACTTTGCTAAGAATCTAGTGCTAGTCGACCGCTTTAAGGCCCTCGCAGATAAGAAGGGCTGCACGCCGGGCCAGCTGGCGCTCGCGTGGTTGTCGGCACAAGGTGAGGACATCATACCAATCCCCGGCACGAAGAAGGTCAAGTATATGGAGGAGAATGTCGGGGCGCTCAAGGTGCATCTCTCGAAGGAGGAGGTCCAGGAGATCAGGGACGAAGTCGAGAAGGCTGAGGTCGCGGGTCACCGCAACCCTCCGGGTGCGTTCACAGAGTATTCGGTGACTGTCGAGCTTTGAGGTGTCCTAACGAGCAATATCCATCGAAGCTGGTCTGGTGGATAGAGTAGCTTGATACTTAAAGGAGCCTTAGAGTTTAGAAAATAGTTGCACTTCCACGAAGTTTTCTATATACATTACTCATGTTAAGGTAGAATACACTCTTTCGCTAAGCTTTAGCTATTATGGTTATCGAGATGTAATTAACAGAAGGTGTTATTAGGATGACTAACCAAAAGTTCAATCCAGTAAAGTGCGTGCTAGTCCGAGAAGGAGTAAATCAGACACCTCTCTTGAACACAGTAATGCATCCCACACTACTGTTATATAGAGTTAAGTACTAATACTTCTCTAAGCCTAATATAGCTTAGAGTGAGTAGGATAATATAAACAACTTTACAAGAGTTTATCTAATAATATATGTAGTGTTAAGAGTATAGCTTAGGTAGAAGTAATATAAGACTGCGAGTATTAAGCTTCTTCTAGTTGGTTTTCGTAGATAAAGTAACAGAGTATAAATAGAGGATTATAGCGTATAAGCAGAATAATTCTCTCAATTATACTTAACGTGACGGATAAGCGAGTCGGTCAGGCAAGCGAGTCGGTCACCCCACCAACTTTGCGCACCTCTACAAGCGTATAGCTTCACCACATTATATTAGTTTTAATAGATATTAACGTAATAGATTAATTACTATCTAGAGTATCTTTCTTACATGTACGTAAGTTATGGCTAGTCTCTCTGCACCTACTACAGCGCGCTAGAGCCTAGCGGCTGACACCCGATCGCCCTCCTCCCTAACGCTCCTCACGAGTAATCTGCTTATTAGCCTTACGTTAAGTGAGTATATCCTCTCTAGCTCCCTTCGTAAGAACTCTACGCTTCTGTATCCGCTTCTTCTTACGCCGCCTACGTTCTAATACTACTATATTAGCTCTCTTAAGACTAGTAATCCGATCGCGCATTAACTCAGCTAAGAGCATTATTACCTCTACCCCCTTCTTAAGCTAGTTAATTACCGCGATAATTGAAGTAGGTGAAGAGCCTTAATGCCGCTAGACGCGATTACGTATTAACGTCGATTAAGCTTTAAGCTTACGTATATTGCTAGGCGTATAAGCCTGCTAGAGAGCTTCTACTAGAATAGCTAGTAGAGTAGGTGTACACAGCTATACGTTAAGCTTTAATAGAATAGTATCTAGCTAGGGAGGAACAAGGCCTACACCTTAAAAAGCTAAGCAGATATTAGCTGGCGTGAAAGATCGATCGAACGCTGCCTTAAACGCTGGTAGAAACTTAAGCTTAGTAACGTAGTTAATATAGTTGCGTATTAGACTCTCTACCTTACGGCTATACGCGCGCTTTAATAGCGAGAAGTAGCTAACGTTAAGAGGCTAGAGTAAGTAAGACGAGTAGGGCGGTATATAGAGCGTATAGATATTCTTCTTCTTACAGAGCTCTTAGAACTTAAGAGACTAGTAGCTCTTATAGCCGTTAAGAATAAGTAGGCGACGTATACTAATAACGTAAGTCTTTATATAAGCGTTAAAGTGTCTAAGCTATGCGACGTCTAGCTTATTAGTCGTCTAGCTATTGTCGCTAACTACGATCGCCTAGTCGCGTAGGATATCTGCTTCGTACTAGGCAGAGAGATAGTGCTTACTAGTAAAGATAAGAAACGGTAGAACTGCCCAGCTAGCTGCGTTAATCCTAGCGATAAATGTTACCTACTCGCGACTGCCTAGCTAAACAGCCTTTAGCCGGTCTCGTCTTTCTAACGCTATAACGACTAGCTAAGTCGTAATCTTGCCTATTAAGAAGCTAGCTTTGTTAAAGTTATAGACGTCCTCGTTATAGATATTATACTTAGCCTTTATCTACTCTATAAGCTTAAACTAGCTCTTAATTAAGACTAAATCTTTATATAGAGCTCTCTATCTATCGTACGCCTAATTAAAGCGCGTCGTAAGACTGTCTATACGCTTAATAAAGTTAGCTAGCTATTTCTACCTAACTTAGCTAGCGCCGCGCGTAGCTAGTAGCTTATTAGCTATATCGCGTATAGCAGTATACGTAGGCGTAAATCTACGTAAATTAAGATTAAGTATATAATGAACTATTACCTTCTCTTCTAGCTTAGTTAGCTTCTTTAAGTTAGGCTAGCAATCGCGTTGCGCGCGCTTCCTAGTGTAACGGCGCAGGCAAGACTACTCGGATCAGTATCGGCGGTAGTGTCACTCAGAGGCATATGGGAGTGCGTGGGACATCAAACGAGCCTTAATTCGAATAGACACCTATAGGCCTTGTACGAAAGGATATCAAAAGTCTACAGAGCTAGCTACAGGGAGTGTCTCCTTATATACTTATCTTAGTCGGATCCAAATCGGATCCGACCTCACAACGAGTGGTTAATGAAGAGGGCGGCGAGTACTACCTCCGATCCGGCTCTGGGATTAGTCCGATACATAGCGAAGTTGTAACATCATTACACTACCCCCCTCTTAGTAGACAGCTAGTCCCATAGCTGTAAGACTGTTCTTATACCTCTCTATTACAGTTCCTCCACGCCAGCGCGAGAGACTATTTCGGGTGACTTTCGGCTTGTTCTATACCCACTTTTCTTTTCTTTCCCTACACTTAATCATCCTGCAGCGAAGTCATATCGTCTATACCTTTCTCCCAAGCTTAAATCCACTAGCTAAGGGCCTGAGGAGGTCCCGGCTTCAATAGGTTTTGTTTATGAAACTCTCTAAGCTTATGAGGAGCTCCCATGAAGTTAGAGGCGGGGTACCAGGTAGGATCCGGATTATGTCCGATCCAGCTCACCCGATACTTTAACTTAGCACGATATAACTTACTAGCAAGGATCTAATCTACTTCCCACTCTTCTACACCTTAGATAGGCTCACCAGGAGGCTTAGAAGCTTCTTGTCCTAGAAGAGAGTCTTAGGGGTCCTTACACAGCAGGTCCGGAGCGAACACGTCGTGGATACGGGAGCCTACCAGTAGTTAAAGTCGATACGAGTGGCCAACTTTCTCTAGAACCTTAAAGGGACCCTCCCACTTAGCGGCCAGCTTACGACTTGGACGGTCGATTGCCAGGTTCTTAGTATCTAAGAACACTATATCGCCAATATCCCAATCGACAGGGCGACGATGGCGGTTAACAGCGGATCGCATCCAGTTCTAGGCCTTCTCCATCTGCTACTTGGCGGTATCCCATGCGGCGTGCATACGGGTGGCAAGCGCTAGAGCATCCTTATGATTAAGTTTGTCAGTAGGGGTAAGGATACTAGTTAGATACTGCTAGTCCCAGCTTTGCTTGGGTACAGATCCGTAAAGAATCTAATACGGAGACATGCCGATAGAAGAGTAAGGTAGGGAAATTTAGGCACGATCAATTAGAGGCAGCAGCCCACTCTAGTTATCCTAGTAGTAGGTTACGAACGGACGTAGTCTCTAATCAATGTACTTGTTCATAATCTCTGTCTGACTATTAGTTTCCTTATAATAGGCGGTAGATAGCTTAACCTTAACACCTAGAATCTGACAGAACTCGGACCAGAAACTAGACACGAACTGTGGTCCTCGATCAGAGATAATTATCTCTAGAGTGTGTCCGAATCGGTACACCCACTGGATGAAGAGTTCGGCCATACCCCTTACGTCAATTATCTTATAACACGGGATAGAGATGGCCTATTTGGACAACCGGTCGATCACGACCATAATCTAATCATATCCGGCCTTATCCTTAGGGAATTCCTTAAAGTCAATGTAGAGGTGTTGCATTGGCCAGTTAGGAATCGGAAGGGGGTGAATCAGCCCTGGGACTCGGGTCTATCTCAGATGGGCTTTGCGGCAGGCTAGGCAGTTCCGCACGTATCTCTTACAGGTAGCTTCTATGCCTTTCCAATAATATTTCCAAGACAGCAGCTGATAAGTCTTCTTTACACTTAGGTGGGCTGATGAGACCTAATCGTAGGCCTCTCGGATCAGTCGCGTGCACGCGGGGGAGTCTAGCTGCACGCAGAGACGGTTCAAGTAGAGCAACAGTCCATTTTCTATCCAGTACTTATCAGGGAGAGTACGGCGCTCTTTCTCAAACAATGTGCGGTTTTGCTGCAACAGAAGCTCGATCAGCTCAAGGGAGTCCAGAGACATAGTCTCCTGAGTGGGCTCAACTACTAGCAGCGAGGTAGCCTGCTCGGATAGTTGTTCCACATATGCCTTAGCGAGTTTAGAGTTGATTTAGTTGTCGAGTTGGTGCGGTTCTAGGAGGACCCGCGAACGGTTATCAATTTAGGTATTCCTTAAGTTCTGCAGGTCCTGTTCCCGACGGCTAAGGATATCGGCGCGAGCGTTGTTCTTGCCGGGCGTGTATCGGATGTAGAAGTTAAATAAGGCGAGCTGTTCAGCCCATCTTACTTGTCGGGCGTTCAGAATCTTAGTAGTTATAAAGTATTCTAGCGAGCGGTGATCAGAGTATACTTGGACTTAGGAGTGGGCAGAGGCTAACTCAGATCTCTACTTGTCGAATACTATAACAATAGCATACAACTCTTTATCGTATATCTCCCAGTTCAGCTCCGATCCGGATAGGACCTTGCTGAAGAAGGCTACTAGGCACCATAAGCCATTGGGTTGGTTCTGAGACAGTACTCCAGCCACAACACCATCAGATGCGTCCGTCTCTACCTTAGTATCATACTCTAGGTAGTAGTGATACAAGGTGGGGATTGCTAGCAAGGCTGCCTTTAACCTTTTAAAGGCCCGGTCGCATTCTAGATCCTATACGAATAGTTTCGCAGGGCTCTAAAGTGCAATAATTAGCTTAGCAATTCGCGAGTATTCTGGGACGAATTGCCGATAGAATCCTGTGAAGCCCAGGAACGACTTCACACCAGTGACGGTAGTGAGTCGGACCCAGTTGCGGAGGGCTTCTACCTTGTCGGGATCTACCTTTAGGCCTTTATTAGTAAGAACGTATCCCAAGTATTTTATACGAGTAACATAGAATTCACTCTTCTTAATGTCGACTTAGAGTCCTACTTATCGTAGTCTTTCTAGTACCTTGCGCACATATCGGATGTGGTCCGACTCTAACTCGAAGTAGATAAGGATATCGTCCAGGTAGGCGATACAGAAGTTGTCTAGGTAATTAATCAACACATCGTTTATATATCGCTAATAGGTTACCAGACCGTTGCACAGCCCGAAGGGCAGTACCTTGGTCTTATACGTTCCGTAACGTGTACGGAATGTGGTGTATTCTTCAGAGTCGGGGTCTATCCGGATCTTATTAAAAGCCGCACGTATATCAAGCTTAGTGAAGATCTTGGCCTTATGGGGACGAGTAAGTAGCTCACCGATACGCAGGATTAGATACGCATCCTTGCGTGTAATAGCATTAAGTTTGCGGTAATCCACGCAGATGCGTAGATCTCCGTTTAGCTTCCGAACACATAGGACTAGGGAGGCGAAAGGGCTGTAGCTTGGGGAAAAGTATCCCTTCTGAAGGTTCTCCATAACGAACGCCTTAGTCGCTTAGAGCTCTTCGGTGCTCTGCTTGTACAGGGGACTAAACTAACTCGGTAGAGGTTCGGTGAGAACGATCTTATGGTCGTACGGGTGGTGTTTAGGTAGCTGATTAGCTGCCGTTTTGCTGAACACGTCTCGGTACGGATAGTAGACGGATAGGAGTCAGTCCTAAACTAACTTGGCATTTTCAGGATCATCTTTTAGTCGTCTCTCCTCTAAAATACAATCAATCTTATAGATACTTGTCGTGAAGAACTCGTTTTCCTTACGTTTTATAGTGTAGTAGAAGGCGTTAGCAGAGATAAGTAAGATGCGGGGTGAAGGAGAGGAAGAGGGTGCAGGTCGGATAGGTTTCAGAGCAGGGTCGGGTGCTGGAGGTAGAGGACGGGCTTTAGGGAGTCGAAGAAGGCCACGGATCCATTAAATACTAGCCGTGGTTGGACTATTTCTTCTCCGATAGTCGTCC